CTTTTGTATCTATATTTGTATGGCTGTATTTGCCTTTCTTTGGATCACTTCCTGTTAACCAGCATTAGATTAGTGTGGTCATGATTTTATGTATGATTTATATTATTTACACATATATATATAAGTCTTATATTAATAAATGTATATTTGCATTTTATAGGTTTCTCCATTTTATTATATGGGTCATTCATACAACAAAGAGATAATAGAGAGCGATAACAACAGCAACTAAGTAAGAAACATATGTAGATCAACACCCTGAAGGTTGCTGATATTGTATTTTGTGTAATGTTTAATCATTTTTTTTTTGCATATTTCAATAATTAAAAGGATATTCCAAGCACTATAACTACTACGTCTCATAAGAGTGGCTATGCCGCTAGCAACCTGTCAGAGTATTTATATTTTAAAGCAGAGGTACCCAAAAGATAGATCCCTAAATGTGTTAAAACTACAGCTTCCATGATGCTTTGACATTCTAAAGGCAAGCATGGGAGTTGTAGTTCTACAACATCTAGTGATCTACCTTTTTGACATTCCTGTTATAAAGCACTTTCAACAGTGTGCTTGTAGTGGTTATGGTGCCATAAAGTGGCTTGACTTCTTGCCAGGGGTTTGCCGGGTGCTGCTCCTTGCCTCCATTACTTATATCAGAGAGCCATAAGCATTTTGAGTGAGCTAAGCCTGACAATAAGCTGTGTTGTGGACACAGCAAAAGGGCACTGCTAAAAAAAAATGTCAATCATGCCCCGAATGTACATCATTTTTCTACTAGTTACCTGAACAATCACACACATGTAAAAGGGATCATGGGATAATAAAGTCACCACAGAGTAGAGTAAAAATCTAACATCTGCTGCAATATTCACCCTTAATAAAGGTTGTGTTTGTATGTAGTGTTGGTGTTTGATTGCTAGGATGTATGCACACAAGCCGTGCCACATGGATACATACATAAATACATACTGAAAAACATACACATTGACACAAACAGATATGCGCACTCAGATACACACAGACACACTCATTTCGTCCTAGCACTGCAGATATTAAAGGGGACTGGTTGCACTGTTTAAAGGCCGCTGTACTTGACTGGGCACATGTTCTGCAATACCTATTGGGTGTACCGGCCACCGTTGTATAAAGACACATTACTATATTATTTAAAGGGAGTTTTGATATATACTCAGATACACCAATAATATGGAGCACATTTAATAGAAAAGTTGGTCAGAGGTATTTGGGTCCAATACAGGGACACTTGGGAGGTATGTCACAGCTTAGCTCCTGCAAGGAAATGAGTTAGAGTTTAATGGTATGAGAAGGCTGTGCTTACTTACTAATTACAAATATTTAACTAGACTTCTGTAAGGAAACCAAGTATATTTAAACCTCATTCTGTAGTTTCCACCCGAACCGCCAGAGCATCAGTGATTATAGCTCTCCGTTCGGTAGATACAGTAGACGAACCGTATAGTAATCCCAATAGCTTTATAAGTTGATTCCCTTAGTGAAGCACATGAATCCCCAAAATCAGCCAAAGTCAAGAAGAAGGGTAAAACTGAACTGAGCTTTAATGATTGCACACAGGCTTTTATGCAAGTCCCCATGCAAGGGGACATCCCCAAGGGAGGGACAAAGATTAACAAATCGGGCACAGTAAAAACATAACACACACCCACAATTCCCTCCCCTAGCCCTGGAGATAATCAAGTCTGATAACGTAATAACTTGATTATCTCCAGGCAGAAAAAATAAATTTTTCCCCAATATCTGGAACACCCCTGATAGCCCCGATCTGGGTGACCAACATATTCAAATTTCACCCAGATCGGTTCAGGGGTTCTCAAAAACTGTGGAAGTCTTCTGTGACCGGCTCACCGTGGGCTGGCTGCCCAAAACAGTTTCATGAGTTTGATGGGTTTTGCCGGTCACTTTAGTAAAAGGGAAAAAGCGAATAAAGTACCGAATGGATCCCCCTGGCTCTCAGCAGCGATTGTTCCCCTCTGTCGAATGAACCAAAGTACCAAATATAGCTCTTCTTGTTATTCGGTAATTAGAGTTCCAGCGTTCGTCTGTTTGAGACCGGTGTTCGGGAAGTCGAGTGTCCGATTTTAGTTCCAGACACTTGACGACCAAGTCCCGCTGCCTTTGTTCGGCTGAAAAAAAGATGGCCGCGGTTTTCTCAGCCACATGGCGTTCAGTAGTACGAACGCTGGCCGCACAGATAGAGGGGTTGATTGACGATTCCTTTGAAGCTTAATGAGCCAGGGGGTGGTCTTTGTTCAGTAGTTCAATCTACCGAATGAGTAAAGGTAAAATTAGATGAATAACTAGTGAATAAATAGTGATTTCTTCACAACTTCCCTATGCATCAGTAGGAAGGTATTGGAGAATAGGGTAATAAAATGGCTTAAAATTTTAAAAATAAGTGAATAAAACATAGTTTTTAAAAAGGTTAGTGCTGAGGGTCAGGTTCTACACCATAACCACAACAAGAAACTGTAGTGTTTAGGATCTTGGATTTTACCTTTAATTTCTTAAACAGCATTATAAGCACAATTATAAAAAAAATGCTTTATTTTATCAATTCATTTAGCAAACATTATTTTCAAATAGGGATTTATTAAACCTTCATAACAAAATAAGACAATATAGGACTTACTAGCCAGTCCTACATTTCAGGACTCTTTTATAGTTGATGTACAGTTAACTAGCTAACAACCTAACATTTCTCACCATTGTAGGTGTTTTCAAAATTGTAATTTACTTACATCTAAATCGAGTATCTCAAAGAATTCTTTGAATGTAATAAATAGCCAGAGAATCATGGGAGTTGTAGTTCAGCAACATCTGGGGAACTAGAGTCTGACATGCCTGTTCTAAATGAAAATCCTTTTTGTGTATGTTGCAGCAAATTGTGTGTGGGCAGAAAAGATTGAGCTTGGTTGATGATCTGAATGAAAATATCTTACCTGTCAAATTCCTTGTCCTCCTCACTATCACAAGTGGGTCTAATCTTCTATATTGATCACAAGATCTTATTCTCTTCAATTCAGATGTTGCAGACTGTTCAGCCTTCGCTCTGCCTTGCTCAGACTGGGTATTAATACTGTGACACAGCCTGTAGTTTCCTTCCGTAGAAAAAGAAAAATAGAAATGAAGCATTGACACCCTCTCAAGGGGAGCTGTGAGAACCAACACATTTGCATTGCCTTGCATATCATTCCTGGTAGGTTCAGCAGTGCCATATTAACACACGTCTGTTCAGATAAGTGCTGCCTCTTTTTTCATCTATATTTTTCTTTACAAAGAAAACATAAATATTATCTTCTACAAGCTCATGACAAATTGTTATACATTTACAGATTGTCACTGCTGGGAAAGGAAAGCAGAACCCACTCGGAGGAACTCTTTTGTAGCCTTGTCATAATTGAAAAACGAAACTACATTTTTCTTTTAGAAAAGATGAGAAGTAAATAAATAAATGCACAGGATAACACCCTTGTAGACCTGCATTGAGTGTCGATTAGAAAACAATGTAAGGTAAAATGAATGTGAACAAAATTTAGGCCATTATGTCACGCTATTAAATATTTCCCAGCTCATCTACACATTAAACTTGGCTAGTTTAACTAAAATGTACTAAAAAAATAGAGGTGTTCAAATAAAACTCAATGTGTTGTGTTTTACCATTTGCATTTAGCAATTACTATTGAAATAGTGAGTAATTGGTTGGGTTTTGGTAATTACGCAAAAGGCCAGCACAGATGCCATGATCCAGCAGGTTATGGCAGCCCAAGCTGAGGCAAACCGCCTGCTCAGGGAGGAGCAACATCAGGCCACCAGTATGATACAGAAGGAGATTCGGATGGGACGCAGTCCGAGGTTAAAATGATCAGAGCCAGCCGTTACTTGCAGAAGATGACACCTACAGATGATGTGGAAGCATACCTTCTAGCTTTTGAGAGGACAGCTGAGAAAGAAGAGTGGCCAGTGAGTGGGCAAGCATACTGGCACCTTTTCTTATTGGAGAACCCCAGAAGGCTTTCTATGACCTGGAACCAGCACAGGCAGGGGTCTACTCCAAACTGAAGGCTGAGATCCTTGCACGACTTCGTGTGACTATGGCAGTTCGTGCCCAAAGATTTCATACCTGGACTTTCAACCAAGAGAAACCTATCCGCTCCCAGATGTTTGACCTGATACATCTTGCTAGAAAGTGGTTACAACCAGAAATAAATATGGCAAGCCACATCATGGAACTTCTTGTGATGGACAGATTCCTGCGGGGCTTGCCTGCTTCACTGCGTCGATGGGTCAGTCAGAGTGATCCACAATCAGCCGATGAGTTAATTGGTTTGGTGGAAAGATATGTTACTGCAGATGACAGAACAAAGTCTATGTAGAGAGTTAAGACTCCAGCTGCTGAAAGACCTGGTATGATTTTTCAAGGTTTCAGAGACACAGAGGAACAAGAGACATATTCTCAGAGACCCCATACACTTTTGCCTAGAAATGGTAATCCTGGAAAAGGGTTGATAATATTAAATGTTTCCGGTGTAATGAACTTGGACATAAAGCTAGAGACTGTCCCTTGATTGATGAACTTATGCAATTCAATATGATTAATTAAGATGTACAATTGTCTTGTTTTCTGAATTATATGGAATCTGCTGTTGTCAACTGTAGTCACAATTCGCAGATATGTTCCATAAGGGTGAATGGGAAAGAGGTTAGAGTCCGGAAGTATGGCAACATTGATAACAAAATGCCTTGTACCTGAAGCCAATATTGATGCATTTCAGAAAATTGATATAATTTGTGTTCATGGTGACAAACGTGAATATCCTACAGTTTTTCTAAAATTTGAAAGCCTTTTTGGTACTGTTAATCATAGAGTGGGGGTGGTGGATAAATTGGCTTATGATGTGGTGTTGGGAAGGGATTTCCCCAAATTTTTAGACTTGTGAGGGTCTCCAGGAAAAGTAGCTCATGATTGTATAGCAAATGATGATGATTCTGGAAATGTGTTCCCTTTTTCTGACATAGAATGGGAAGGACTGGGCATAAGAACAGAGAATGCTGAAGCCTCAAGTCACAGGCCAGCTTTAGTAGGAGATGACCCGGGCCACGATAGTCAGGAGTCTGATAATGATCAGGATCATGGCATTAACTTCCCTGAATTAGAAGTCAGTCCTGTTAACTTCAGGAAAGCACAATGGGAAGACCCCACTCTTGCAGAGGCCCATAAAAATATCCAGGTTTCTACTGATAATCCAGTACAACTAGATAGAGCCCCTCCTTTTCCTTACTTTGAGGTACAGAATGATTTGATATATAGAGTAGAGAAAGAGGGGATGGATGTTGTAAAGCAACTACTTGTTCCTAAGCCCTTCAGACATACAGTCCTAAATCTGGCACACAACCATATACTGGGGGGACATTTAGGCATTGAAAAGACAAAAGAAAGAGTCTTACAGAGGTTTTATTGGCCTGGGGTATTTGCTTCAGTTGCAAATTATTGTTCTTCTTGTCCTGAATGCCAACACACCACCCCTTTTAAGTCCTCTGGTACCATTGCCTATAATAGAAATACCTTTTGAGAGGATTGCAATGGACTTGGTAGGTCCTCTGGTAAAGTCTGCAAGGGGGCATTAGTATATATTGGTGGTTTTGGATTATGCTACCAAATACCCGGAAGCAGTACCCCTACGTAACACGTCTGCAAAGACAATAGCGAGAGAACTCATGCTCATGTTTAGCCGGGTGGGCATACCAAAAGAAATTTTGACAGATCAGGGTACACCATTTATGTCTAAAGTTACAAAGGAGTTATGCAAACTACTTCAAATTAAACATCTTAAGACCTCTGTTTATCATCCCCAGACAGACGGACTGGTAGAACGGTTTAACAAGACCTTAAAAAGTATGTTAAGGAAAGTAATTGACAAGGATGGTAAGAATTGGGATTGCTTACTACCCTATCTAATGTTCTCCATAAGGGAGGTGCCACAAGCTTCTACGGGCTTCTCTCCTTTTGAGAGTGTAATTGAGCACATAGCTCAAATGCAAGATAGGATGGTGGCTGTCATGCCAATAGTTAAAGAACATATGCAGAAAGCCCAAGAGGCCCAGAAAAACAGTTACAATAAAAATGCCAGACTGAGAGTTTTTCACCCAGGAGACAGGGTACTTGTTTTGGTTCCTACAGTAGAAAATAAATTTCTAGCCTCTTGGCATGGCCCATATGAGGTTATTGAACAAGTTGGGGAAGTTAATTATAAAGTGAGACAACCCAATAGAAGGAAACCCGAGCAAATGTATCAGGACAGAGAGGTCTTAACTACTTCAATTGTTACTAATAAGACTGGTAGTGAACTTGAAGTAAATATACCAGACACCCTGCCCCCCCACCAGAAACAGGAAGTAAGGGACTTTATTGGTAAAAACCGGGATGTATTTTCTGTAGTTCCGGGCAGGACTAACGTTATCAAGCATGATATTGTTACAGAACCAGGGATGAAGATAAGTCTTAAACCATACAGAAGTCCAGAAGCACAGAAAGAGGCTGTAACTGCTAAAATTAAGAAAATGTTAGATCTTGATATTATTGAGGAATCACAAAGCGAGTGGAACAGCCCTATAGTACTGGTGCCAAAACCTGATGGCTCATTAAGATTTTGTAATGATTTTCGTAAATTAAATAGTGTCAAAGTTTAAGTCTGATGCTTATCCAATGCCTAGGGTTGATAAACTAATAGAGAGACTGGGTAAGGCTCGGTACCTGACTACCTTGGACCTGACGAAGGGTTATTGGCAAGAAAAGACAGCTTTTTCGACATCAGGGGGATTATTCCAATACTAGGTGCTACCATTTGGGTTACATGGGGCTCCTGCCACTTTTCAAAGACTGATTGATAGGATTTTGAAGCCTCACAGCTGTTATGCGGCCGCATACTTAGATGACATAGTCATTCACAGTTCTGACTGGGCTTCACATCTTTCCAAAGTGCAGGCAGTACTGGACTCTATCCGCCTAGCTGGTTTAACTGCTAACCCATCTAAGTGTACTATAGGTTTGGAAGAGCAAAAATATCTGGGTTATTCAATTAGGAGAGGGCTAGTTAAGCCCCAAACAGCAAAAGGCTATATGAAGGCCATACAAAATTGGCCACGCCCCCTCACTAAAAAGCAAGTCAGGACTTTCTTATGACTTATTGGGTATTACAGGCGATTTATTCCTGATTTCACTACATTTGCAGCTCCTTTAACGAATCTCACAAAAGGAAAAGCCCCACTAGTGGTGAAGTGGTCATTAGAGACAGAAAAATCGTTTGTAAATTTGAAAGAAGCTTTGTGCACCCAACCAGCTCTGGTAACGTCGGATTTCACTAAAGAGTGTATTGTCCAAACCGATGCATCAGAGATTGGGTTAATGGCGGTTCTGTCTCAGGAAATTCAAGGTGAAGAACACCCAGTGTTTTATTTAAGTAGGAAGCTGACTCCCGCTGAGAGAAAATATTCTATAGTGGAAAAAGAATGCCTTGCCATAAAATGGGCCTTAGACCCACTAAAATATTATCTGCTGGGCAGAAAATTTAGGTTGGTCACATACCATGCTCCCTTAACCTGGATGAGTCAAAACAAAGATAATAATGCCAGGGTGACAAGGTGGTTCCTCAGTTTGCAACCATTTCATTTTACAGTTGAACAGTTGTTCTAAACATGGTAATGCTGACAGTTTGTCATGAGAAAATTTATTTTCTGTGGTCGCTCATCCCATTAGGTGTGAGCTCGGGGGGAGGATATGTGACAGAGTGTTGGGGATGGTGGTCAGGCGTGTATATCTGGCACCCTGACTTTTGCACAGGCACTATCCTGACATGTGGGTAAGCACATGCAGCCCTAGGGAAAGTGAAGTTTAAATGTAGGTTGTTTTTTTTTCCTCTGTTGTTATTTGGGTCCCTGGGGTGGAGTATTCGGAAGAGCAGGGTGGACCGATTCTCCACCCACTGTCAGAGTGGCTGTGCATGAGTCCAGCCCAGGTTTTCTAAGGAGTTCTGGCTCACTACCTAACGAGGTCATTAGCCTCACCTGTAGGGGCTGTGAGCAGCTATATAACTGCAGTTAAAGCAGGGTGGAGGGAGGGAAGTGTTTTGAGGAGAAAGACAGTGATTTGTAGAGAAAGAAGGTTTGCTGTTTGTTGTATCCTGTTACTTATTAACAACAGAAAATAAACGGGCCAGAGGCCTTTCTGAAACTGGACTTTGTCTTGACCTGGTTTTCTTACCCTAGAGGGCTGTGCAGTTGCCAAAAGATCCTGGACAAACACACACAGTTTGTAAGTTTGTCACAGTTGAAAAACTTTTCTAAGGGATATGCTGCTTGTGATTATGGTGTAAAGCTGTCCCCAAAAAGGTTGACTACCCTGTGTAGCAGAGAGTGGCCTGTTCTGTTAGCCAAATGGCCTCCACGTGGCAGTCTTGATCGAGATTTAGTGCAGCAGGTTTATACAGTTGTAACTAATCGGCCGGAATTTTATGATCAGTTTCCGTATAACGACAGTTGGAAACAGATTGTTGAAACACTGCCTAAATGGATCAAGCTGTGCCACGAGGAACAATGCCGCCTCATGGTTGCTAGGACTCGCCTGTCCACTAAGGCCTCAACTCCTCCTATTTTGTACACCCCCCTGAATCTGGACTCCCCTTACCACCCCCATATTCCTCCTCCCGAGCTAGAGGAGTTGCAGCTGGTGTTTCTACTCCCCCTGCTCCATTGTCCCCGCCTACCCACTCACCTATCTCAGATGCCAGCTCACTTGCTTTAAGCCCTTCTATTCCTGTACCCACTAGTTCTTTGTATCCCGAATTGGCGCCCTTTTTAGTTACTGGCCAGGCACCTCCCAGCTCTGCCCAAAATATTTTATTAACGGAGTTACCGACCAGTATAATTAATTCACCCTCTTATACCCTCCTGACAACTCCCCAACCGGAGCATGTTCAAATAAAACACACTATAAATGTTCGGAGTCCCATTTTAGCACGTCAAGTTACTGGTACCCTCCAATCTCTGCATTTACAGATGCCTCTCCGACTTACACCTGGCCCACCACATATTGACGGCAATGGTCAGTTGCAGATGGCAGACCCTGTATTTGTATATGGTACCTTTACCACAACTATTTATTTATTTAATTGGAAAACCCATAACCCCTCATACACGGATAAACCACAAGCCATGACTGATTTGGTCACCTTGATTATTCAAACCCACAACCCGACTTGGGCTTATTGTCAACAGTTATTGTTAACCCTATTTAATTCTGAAGAGAGGAACCGTATTAACCTAGCAGCCATTAAAGCTATTGAGGAGACGGCCCGTACCCAAAATCAAGCCAATTCAGCTGCTTGGGCGCTGCCCATTTTCCTAATAATTTGGAATGTAAATGGCATTGATATGATTTATTTAAAAGCCTACCAACAATCCATTATTACTGACATGAAAGCAGGTGGGAAAAAGGCTATTAATATGTCAAGAACGGCTGAACGGCTGAAGTGTAACAGAAATCTCCCAGTGCCTTTTATAAGAGACTGCCTGAGTCATACCGACTTTATACCCCATTTAATCCTGAAGCCCCTGAAAATTCTCGCATGATCAATTCAGCATTTGTCAGCCAGGCCCAGAATGATATTAAAAGGAAGTTGCAAAAGGTAGAGGGATTTGCAGGGATGTCTATAATGCAGCTAATGGAAATTGCGAACAGGGTATATATGAAGAGTGAAGCTGAAACGAAGCGTGAGGAGGAACACAAGATGAAAAAGAAAGCGGATATGTTAGCAGTTGCTATTACAGGAGTGGGAAGACAGGGAGGGGATGAGCAGACTATCATTGGGCATAAACCAATGTGCATATTGTAGAGAGGAAGGACATTGGAAAGGTGAATGCCCCTAGAGGGGATTTAAAGTGAGTTATAGACAAGATGAGAGAAGGGGACGGGGTGGTTACAGAGGTGGATATAAAGGAAGAGGAAGTTTTGGAGGGAGCAATAGTAATAACAGAGGGGACGTTCAGGAAGGTAGGTACTATCCCCCTACTCAGAGACCAAAGGATAGGGATAATAGGGACTTTGTGGGTCTGGCTGATACAGCAATGGACCCCCTATCTTTCCCTCTATCGTTACTTCAGCCAAGCAGAGCCTATGGTCGAAGTAACGATAGGGGGAAAGAGAAGTCCTTTCATGATTGGCACGGGTGCTGAACATTCTGTTGTGACCAAATTGGTAGCTCCTCCCTCTGGAAAGACTGTAACTGTAAAAGGAGCTACTGGGAAAGGCACTGTAAGACTGGTTCTCAGGAGTCATACTTGCATACTAGGAGGCCATTTTGTTAAGCACCAGTTCCTATATATGCCGGAGTGTCCAATTCAACTTCTAGGACGAGATCTATTGTCAAAGCTTCAAGCACAAATAACATTTCTACCCAATGGATCAATGTCCTTGCAGTTTAATAAATCACTGGGCATGTTAGCCGTACTGGTGCCAAAAGAAGAAGAATGACATCTCTATTCTATAATGATCATTATTTGACATTCCAGGAGTATGGGCAGAAAATAGTCCTCCAGGACTTGCTCATAATATTCCACCTATACACATCGAATTAAAGCTTGGGGCATATCCTGTTAGCCTTCGTCAGTACCACATACCACAGAAGGCTAAGAAAAACATACAGACATATTTGGATAAGTTTGTGAAGTATGGCATCTTGAAATTCTGTACCTCCCCTTGGAACACTCCATTATTACCTATTCAGAAGCCAGGATCTGACGAGTATCGTCCTGTACAAGATTTAAGAGCAGTTAATCATGCAGTGGTTAACATACACCAAGTGGTGCCCAACCCCTATAACCTGCTTGCCCTAATTCCAGGTGGGGCAACTTACTATACAGTCTTGGATCTCAAAGATGCTTTCTTCTGTCTCCGAGTTGCCGCTGAAAGTCAGTGCATCTTTGCTTTCCAATGGAAAGATGCTCTTATGGGATCAAAGTGTCAGATGACTTGGACCATGTTACCATAAGGGTTTAAGAATTCACCTACTCTATATGGAACTGCATTGAGTCAAGATTTGCAAGACTTCAAATCCATCCCAGGGAAAATAGTACTACTTCAGTATGTGGATGATCTATTAATAGCTGCAATTACCAAAGAGATGTGTCAACAAGCAACTCATGATCTTCTTCATATCTTATGGAAGGCAGGATACAAGGTATCTAGGAAGAAGGCACAACTGTGTCAGTCAACTGTCAAGTATTTAGGATTCCATATTTCAGTAGGTCAAAGAACAATGGGACCTGAAAGAAAAGAAGCTTTATGCCGTATACCTGTACCAATGAATAGAAGACAAGTTCAAGAATTCTTGGGAGCAGCTGGATTCTGTAGGATATGGATTCCTAATTATGCGATACTGGCAAAACCCTTGTATGATGCTGTAAAAGGCACAGAACATGATCCCTTCCTATGGACTACAGAGCAACAGACGTCATTTGAGGAACTCAAGAAAGCATTTATGAGTGCCCCAGCCATCGGCCTACCAGACCATACTCGTTCTTTCTTTTTGTATGTACATGAGCAAAAGAAAATGGCTGTGGGAGTGTTAACACAATACTTGGGATCATGGCAACGACCTGTGGCATACATGTTTAAGCAGTTGGATGCAGTGGCTAGCTGCAGCTTTGTTGGTAGCGGAGTCTGATAAACTTACAT